CCCTGTATAGGGTTTCCAAGGAATGGCTGGTGAGCTTGAACTGCCGACGTTGTGGTTCAAACTGATCTTACAGTCCAGCAGATTAAACCCAAACACCATACCAGGACTCCCTTCCCTTCCTCCCCCTCTCTCTCTATCTATACATACATCTATACATACATACACACACACACACACACACACAAAAAAAAAAACCTCATTGGTTTTTCTTCTCTAGAGAACTCAGCCTAAGACAGGAGAAGAGAATTCAATCTGCAACAGGAGGCGATTCTACTTTTTAGTTAAGAATGTCTTCCATTCATGCAAATCCTCACACCTTAAAAAATCAGAACGGTTTTCTAATCAAGCGTATTCTTTTACAGTGAGAGTATTTCAAAACATAATACAGCTAAGAGCTTTATGCTTTTGAAGTTAATCCACCAAGGCCAAATGGAATTGCGGTGGGAAAAATGTACACGCTGAGGTCAGACTCTTGGCTCTGCTATGCTGTATTTTTAACCTCTGTATACAAGGTAAGTCAGAACCGATTTGATGGCATTTAACAGCAACAACAACAACATAAGATTCACAGTCCTTATCTGTAAAATGAGATTGGATCCTGTGTCACAGAGGAGGACAAACGAAATAAAATCCAAAGTAAAGTACCAAGAGATGAATGTAGTACATCATCAATGCACAGTAACAGCGGGCCATATTTTCTCACTTTTTATATGCCGCATTTGTTGAGAACTTACTATGTGCCAAACCTTTCTGGGTGGCACCAATGTATTCTGCTCAATTATTAACATAAATGCTAGAGACTTAAACCATCCAGTGGTTCTGGTAAAATCCCGGTGATGTGCTTCAATAAAGACTGTTGTTGTTACGTGTCCTTGAGTTGGTTCCAACTCATATAGTGATCCTGTATAGGGTTTCCGAGTGGCTGGTGGGCTCGAACCACTGACTTTGTAGTTCACAGTACAGTTCTTATTCGATGGAGTCACTGCCCTCCCTCCCATAAAGATTACAGCCAAGAAAGCCTTGCAGAGCATTTCAACTCTGTAACACACAGGGTTTTCATGTATCAGAATTGACTCAAGAGCAACATGTCTGGTAGTGGTTATCAGGTACTATTATCTTCACAATGATCTCATGCTTTATTTAGTGTAACTAGGCCCATTTTACAGATGAGGACATAGATCAATTAAGTAGACTGCTGAAGGATGCACAACTGGTAACTGGCAGAGCAGAGGTGAGTCCATGTCCGTAACGTCTGTGCACAGGGCCTGTTCATGACTATTTCTATTGACACACTACTTATATCTACTTTACTTCTTCTCCAAGTACTTTGTGGGTGCATAAAGACGAGGCTTTCTGTTCCCACCAAGATTTACAGCCTTAGAAACTCTATACAGGGTTCACTATGAGTCAGAACCAAGCCGACGACACTTTACTTCTTACAGTTCATCTTCTGTCTCACCTCTAGTTAATTATTACACTTGGATATCATTTATAAAGAGAAAAGACCACTAGAGGAAGGTCTGCTAATATTCTTAACTAGAAATTTTTATCTGCAAAACAAAGTTTTTATCCAACGAAGAGTAATTTGAGATAAAACACTGGAAACCAGATCATTTTGAAGAGACAGGAATTATACATTTAAAGCAATTTTTTAATGCAAGTTACTCTATTTCTACCGTAATTTATGTTATGACAGAAACTCATTTTCAAAAGAACATCACAAAATAAATATTAGCAAATAAACCCATATAAAGGTAATTAATATTACGAGTTATTGTTGTTGTTTCTCTGTATGGGGTTTTGAAGGAGAAGCTGATTCATTCAGCTGTCAACCTTGCGGTCGGTCCAGTGCTTATCCTAGAGAACGCCACATCAGGACTCCTACTAGTTATTGTTTTTCAGCATCATTGAGTCAGTTTTGACTCATAGTGAGTGAGCACAGGGTTTTCAAGGACCAGCTGGTGACCTTGAACCATCGACCTTGCAGTTCAAATTGACCTTGCAGCACCATACCAGGACTCCAGGAATTACACTGTTGTTCTTGGTAAGTGCCGTCTAGTCAGTTCTGAACCATGGCAATTCTATATAGAATTTCCAAGGAGCTGCTGGTGAGCTTGAACTGCTGACCTTGCAGTTCAAACTGTCTTTGAAGTCCAGCACTTTAACACACAGGGCCACATCAGGACTCTATCACTTAAGTTAATTAAATGTTTGACTAATTTTCAGTTGATAATTCTGTATGGCCCGCGAATGATTAGTTATAGATTTTGGCAGAAGAAAGTCTCCCCACCTGTGGTATATGTAGCCCTTCCTAACAAACACACAAGGAGCTCTGGTAGCGCAGTGGTTACAAATTGGGCTGATAATCTCATGGTCAGCAATTTGAAACTACGAGCTGTTCTGCAGGAGATAGATGAGGCTTTCTGCTCCCATATAGATTTACAGCCTTGGAAACCCTGTACAGGGTCACTATGAGTCAGAACTGACTCCACGGCACATAACAACAAAAACCAAACACACACCCCAGCCACAAAGTTCTCCTGGCTCTCTCTGTGTGTCTGTACATCTGCCTGCTGGCTATGACTCACCTATGCCCAGCAGGATTGCTGGTTCCTAATTAGAAGATATTAAATACATTATAGATCTCTGGATAGTTGAAACACAACACAAATATACTCAGGTAGATGAAAGGCAAGACTCTGTTACTTGGAACTCAAATGAGAAAAGACCATCATGCAGAAGGTTTGAATTGGGATGCAGGGTAACAACAAGCAGGAACAATAAAAGGCAGCCTGTGACTAGCAAGCAGAAGGGGTGAGATAGATTATCCTGGCTTCCTACAATTGGGCAATTTGAATAATTCCTAGATGATAGGCACCTGGGGCCTCTGTGCCTTGACACCCAGGAATGTTACAGGCTGGTAAGGGATGCTGTTGGAATGGAGGCTTAGCAAACTGACTGCAGAGGAGATGGAGAGTGTTTAGCCATGACCTGAAAACAAGGTCAACAAAGCACAGGTAAAACATTATATTACAATTGTTTCCTGCTTGCCCAGTGGCCATCATAGCCAATGAGGTGTCTCAAATCTGTCTTAGCCTTAGGGTATCTCGAACAGTTATTTTATAATCTTACATTTACTCTTCTATTATAATAATTCTTTATATTAAATGTCTACTGGTTAAATCACTATGGTTTTTAGCTCTGGAATGGACTCATATGAAAACAATCACAATATGACTATACTCAAGACTGTACTCATGAATAGTATTTGCTAATAGTATGGACTGAATTTTGTTCCCCCAGATTATGAGGGGGCTTCATAAAGTTCATGGGAAAATGGAATTTTTCCATGAACTTTCTGAAGCCTCCTTGAATGTGTACTTGTAGATTTGAGCCTGTTTGGAAATAAAGTTTGTTATGTTAACGATGCCATACCAAGGGAGGGTAGATCCTAAAGCTATTCACTTCTGAGCCATGAAAAGAACAGAATGCACACAGAGACATACCGGAGGAAGACAGATGCTACGTGAAGATCATGGACAAGTCAAGGGACCAAAGAATGCCTAAGGCTGTCACCATATTTATTCAATCTGTACAATGAGCCAAGAATCCAAGAAGCTGGATTATATGAAGATGAATTTGGCAACGGAACTGGAGGAAAACTCATCATCAACTGGCGATATGCAGATGGCACAACCTTGCTTACAGGAAGAAAAGAGGACACGAAGTACTTACTAATAAAGATCAAAGACTATAGTCTTCAGTATGGATGGCACCTCAACGTAAAGAAAACAAACATGCTCACATTTGGACCAGTAAATAACATTGTGATAAATGAAGAAAATACTGAAGTTGTCAAAGATTTCATTTTACTTGGATCCATAATCAACAATCATGGAAACAAGTAGTCAGGAAACCAAACGATATATTGCATTAGGCAAATATGCTGTGTCTCTAAAGTGTTAAAAAGCAAAGCCATCCGTATGGCTGCCCTGCTGTGCACATAGGTTCACTATGAGTGGAAACAGATTCCATGTCACTAACAACCACCACTATCAACACGTTATTGCAGTCACCACCAAAACAAAATCATTGCTCAGAACTTGGTTTGAACTGAAAGCCTCTAGAACTGTACAGGAAAGAAGATGCAGTCTCTACTTCTACATTAAACAGAGGGATACAGACCAACTTTATTAAAGTTTACATAAGGGGTCAAGAAAACTTTTCTGAAAAGATTCTAAAAGGAAGTATTTTGGGCATTTAGTCTATAAATTTTCTGTTTCTGCAACTCAATCCAGGCTTGGTGAAACCAGCTCTAAACAATGTGTAAACAAATTGTCTGAGTGGCAGTATTCCAATGAAACTTTATTTACAAAAATAGGGTTAGACCAGAGTCCATTGTTTGCCAATCCCTGCTCTACCTCAGTAGAATTTATCTACTCAGTAGAATTATCTGCTTCACTGATCACTTGACCTAAACTGCAAAGGTTTGTTTGGCTCTTTTCATGTATTCATTGTTCTTGTGTGTTGTGTAGCCTTAGCTGTTTTTATTTACTTTCATCCCATTTCTGTGGAGACTGAGAAAGATGTGTTTTAACTGTATTTCTGCATTTCTGGGGAGTGCTGCATGTTAAAAGTACAACTCCAAAGTATCTTTTTGAAGTGAACTGATCTCTATAATGATTTTTTCTTCTTCTTGGAATTCATTTGTTAAATCTTTCACGTTGTATTCATTAAGAAGGTAATTGGATTGGAGATTCTGCCTTACTTAAAGATCTATTTAAAGAAATGATACGGCACCTGGCTTTAAAACAAAGTAGGTTAGTAGTATGTCCAGGCAAAATCACCTTCTGCAATTTCCTTTGGTTCTAGTTATGAAAGGGATCAAAATCTATCATAAGAATTTGAAGTTCATACAATTGCAGGAGATCATAAAACTCAAATTAAAAGACTTCAACTTCAGCAATGTTCAGCAAACACACAAACAGGTGAGATCTTACCAGAGGAATGAGCAGGCTAATGAGGTCTGTCAGAGGTTTGCTGAGTACCAGCAGGTCTTCCGCAGCCTGAGTGTCCCCTCCCAAGCCAGACTTCTGTGCCTTAACAGGAGACAGACAAGAGGAAAAGATTCTTATTGATTCTTATTGATGAGGGGAACTGATGAGACATTCCACCTTAGTTCCTCTGAGTGCAAGACAGAGGCTCCAAAAGAGGTTATGTTTTATTATAACAAGAGAGTATGTGGAGCTGTGGGATCAGCACTGATGGCAAGGTTGGTTTAAACTGCAAGGTTAGGTTCCCACTAGCCACTCCTCCCTCATTGGAAATCCTGTACAGATAGCAGATGACAAAGCCAGTACCTAAAACCAGGTATTGTTGTTCTAAAGTGTTGTCCAGTCAGTTCTGACTCATAGGGACCCTATATAGGGTTTCCAAGGAGCTGCTGGTGAGTTTGAACCACCAACCTTGTGGTTCAAACTGACCTTTATCCCACAGCGCCACACCAGGACTCCACAAACCCAGGTTATCCAACCCTAAATCACACATGTTGATTTCCTGGGGCATTTGTATGCAGATGCTGAGACACATAAAATGTATTGTTATGCCCATCTTCTTTATATGCATGCTGTTGTTATCTGCCACTGAATTGGTCCCCAACTCATGGCACCCAGATGCACAAAAGGAAATGCTGCTTAGTCCCACGGGATCTCCATGATGCATTGCAGAACAGACTACTGTGACCCAGAGTGTGCTCATAGACCAACTTTCAGAAGTGAATGTCACGGCCTCCTTTCTAGTCCATCTCAGTTGGAGAACTCTGTTAACACTGGTTCTGTATCATTAACAACACACAATCTTCCACAGACACACAGGTAGCAGGTGTGGGAATGAAACTTGGATTTCCCACATGGAAGGCAAGGATTCAAGCAGTGAAACATCAATGTCCTCTCTATAGACATACACTTGTTCAAACATTTGTCCAAAGTATCACCACATGAACAGACTTTAGGTCCACAGCCCTTAGAAGCAGCGTGTTCAAGCAGCAATGGAAATTATTAGTAAGCGGTGGCTTTCATTTTAAATGTGACTTCTCCCAGCACTCTAATTAAAAAGAATCAAACCCACCACCACCAAGTTAATTCCAATTCTGTACAGAATTTCTAAGGATGTAAATTTTTATGGGGGAAGAAAGATTCACCTTTTCCCACAGAGTAGAGTGGTAGGTTTGAACCACCAACGATTCTGTTAGTAGTCCAGTGCTTATCCTATAGTGCCACCACAGTTCCTTCAGGAGTTTAACAGAACTGCCGAATTCCAGAGGCGTTTTCTATCACAGAAAGGAATAATTGTAGATTCCAAAGAGGTACTGATTATTTATTGTAGTCTTCATAACTGCTCCTTTGAAACCCTATACAATGTCACTATGAGTTGGAACTGACTCGACAGCACATAACAACAATGTTGTTGTTGTTGTTATGTGCTGTGGAGTCGGTTCTGACTCATAGTGACCCTGTACAGGGTTTCCAAGGCTGTAAATCTTTATGAGAGCAGAAAGCCTCATCTTTCTCCCAAAGATCAGCTGGTAGTTTTGAACTGCTGTCCCTGAGGTTCGCAGCCAGATTCGTAACCACTATGCAACCATGGTACATGCATATTTCATTCACATTCTTCCTCCTCATTTTCACTTTTACTCAAAAACCCATTTTACGGTAATGATCTTTGTCAGAACTGTTAGAGTAGGCCTTTCAGGCTGTTTCAGCATGGATCATGAATCTGGAATCCGGCATGTTAAGTTTCCTTCTGTGCTTGAAATCTAGAGATAGAATTTTAGTTTCCTGCTTTTTTTGTTTCAGAAAGACCTGTCCGTTTGAGCCTCACGGTTGGTGGTTCTAACCCACCAGCTGCTCCTCAGAAAACTTATACAGGGGCACCATGAGTCAGAAATGACTCGATGGCACTTAACAACAACAACCTCTCTACAGCCAAGACGAACAACGTCAATCAATACAGCTTGCTGCGTTCCCCAACTGGTATAATCAAGAAAGGTTGTTTCCACCCAGAAAGTAAATGTGCAGAACAATCCTAGCGACATGAACCTTTCTGAATCTCAGCTGCCTCATGAAGCACAATGTGAGTCAGACCATTGGCCTTCTCATGGTAACGCATCATCCCGTAGATGGGATCCTTCTTGGGAGAGAGACGGCCATCTTGAAAATCACAACCAAAGCTGCCTAAGGGGATATGGTGTCAGTGGCTGCCCTTCCAAGCACACACACAGCAAGCAGATGGGGACACAAGAATAAGCACACACTGAGCATTTTTCCCACCTGGATATTCACTAGCCCTTCAGTGTCCAAGATTGACACAGTCCCTTCATAGGGTCACCAAGAAACATCCAGAGCCTGACCCACATACTGCACTCAGGCATAAACTCATTGCAGTTACCAAGGATTCCAGAGAGCGAATCTTACAATACTGTACAACACAACAAGGAGGTACAAAGCCAGGAAGGCATTAGAAATGTAATTCTCCTCAGAAAAAGATGGGCCTACACAGGAGCTTTGTATACCAAATGGAATCCCTGCACACATGTAGGAGTACACCCAGAAGCTGAATAACAAATTCAGAGACTCAGCTTGCCATGCCTTTGTCTCTCTCCAATTCCCCAGCACCACACTCTCCTAAGTCAGCCCTTTAACTCTGCCCCCGTGGTCTTCTAGGTACATTTTTCAGGAAGCCCATTTCACAGCAAGAACCTCATCCCAGAGCAAAAACCCCATTCCAGAACAAGAACCCCATCCAGAGCAAGAATCCCATTCCATCACTGTTGTGACCTCATTTCCCTGGGATCTATTGTTGGTAGAGCCTGCTGGTACTGACTGTTCCAACAAGAGAGGATGCTAGTGTGGGCAAGGGTGGTGGTAGTACGCTTGAGTGCAGTACTTGGATTTGTTAGATATTAAACGTAAAATCAACATATCTGGTGAGAAATTAGATGTGGTAAACAAAGAGAGGGAATTTAAAAATGACTCTCAGATTGAGGTTTGCATCACTAGGTAAGGGTGGCACGGCTCACTGCCAAGAAGTTAAAAAGGCTTATCCCAGATAAGAAGGTACCACTGACTTTTTCTTAAGAAAAGGAGTAGCGAGTGCTATAGGATAAGCACTGGACTGCTAACTGTAAGGTTGACCGTTTAATCCTACCAGCTGCTCCTCAGAAACTGACCTGACGGTACTTAGCAACAACATAGGCTATGGCACAAAAATCACAGACACGTAACAATGAGATAAAGGATTATTGTTGTTGTTGTTAAGTGCCATCGAGTTGATTCCAACCCATAGCGACCCTGTAGAGGGTTTCCAACTTTGCTTAAATAACTTTGCAGTCTGACGCATTAGCCAACAGCGCCACGCCAGGACTCCAGATAAAGGGTAGCTCATGAGAATAGTCCAGTATGTAGAAGGTCACAGAGGAGGCTCACTGGATAATTCCAAGAGAGGTAAAAAAATAAGAGGCAACAATCCCCAACCATGGAGAGCCCCGATGTGCTCACTGAGACCAAGAAAGAGGCAGTGGTCACATTTCAGGCTTTCAACACTATCAACAGGTCTGCAAATAGCAGCGGTTCAGTTATCATACTACAGGAAAGAAATATAACAAGCTCCTGTTTACTGCCCCAGAAATGATGGGCAAGATCCAGACTGGGTACTCAGATGACCTGGAATCTCTTGCCCCCAACACTAGCCTAGACCCCACTTGCTCATTATTTACTATGCAGCACTCTATACCCAAGAGTAATGCAGTAAGATGAGGAGGTGCTTATAGACAGCCTTCCTTACCAAGCTGCAAGCTCCCTGAGAGCTAGTAAGTACCATTTCTCTCTGTTCCCTGCTATGATGACAGGGGCCTAGTCTTTGTGCAGAGGTCATACTAAGTATAAAGTAAAATCATACATCAATTCATAAGCATGCTAGGGATTAGTCCATCTCGGCAAATATGAATGGAGTGTTTTCACATGGGCTAAGACCTGGCCTACAGTGAGGTAACTAAGAGGGTGCATATATTTCTTCTTGCTGCTGGTAAAAGTACAGAAGCCATTCATTGAATACCTTCCCTGCACTAGGTGTGTGTAATGCACTGTATATTTATATACGGACATACACTGTGTTCACTCATTCATTAGTTGTAACTGTGTCTATTTCACAGATGAGGAAACCAAATTGCCCAGAGTCATGCAAGTTGGAGAGAGGTGCGTGGCTATGATTTGAATCCATAATATTCCAGTCTACAAGCCCACACACATGTCCCCACATTAGTAGCTCCCCAGAATGTTAATTTATTTTTGCCTCCACACTTTTCTAGCAGCAATGCGTCCCTCAAGGGGTAAAATTCCCTTAATGGACCAACTTTTAACTGCAGTGCAGGGAGGAGGGTAAGAGGGAATTTCTGAGAGATTCTGATAGGGGCCTTCCCCCACCACTCCTCACTTCCCCAAGGCACATTCTTGCATCTTAGTATGTGGTGCTGTAGGATTAAATACTGGACCCCAAGGTCAGTTTGAACCCCAAGGTTGGTGGTTCAAACCCATCAGCTGCTCCTCAGAAACCCTATTCTATATAGGGTTACTATGAGTTGAGACCGACTCCACGGCACTTAGCAACAACAAGAAAAAGTGTTTCATAAATCTAACTACTATTGTAATTTCAAACATTGGTTTCCCTCAATTCTCCAACCTAAATATCTTTCTTCTACTTAAGAGAAGCTACTGTCAAAAGTACACATGGGTTTTAAATGTAGAACTGCCAACATGAAATATGTTTATAAATGGAAGAAGTAACTTAACAATTTCAAAAAGCACTTCTAGCTCAGTGATTGAAGAAGTCTTTGATGTACACTCCATTTCTTTTTCCAACTCTTTCCCCTAATTCAAGGACTACCTCTTTCAGACTGACACCAGGTGTCATGGACATCAAAGTTGCTGACCAAGGCAAAAAGTTCTAATACATGGAGGATGTAAAGAAGGAAGATGTGATACAAGACAGCAGTAAACTTGGCAGTGGTGTTTACATTTGTTTTAGAAAATGATCAAGCACACAA